CAAAGATGCTCGAGCAGCAGGTAAGGAAGAAACAAAGAGTTAAAACAAAACAAAAAACAATGAAAAGACAGCTGATTGACATTAAAGTTTTTTACACTAAACATTACAGCGCCAGCAGATAGGCAACATCGAGGAGACGCTGAAGAAGTGCAACATTGACGGTGAGATTGAATGACTGATAGTTAGACACGCGCCAATCACTGATTGCCGACTAATCACAATTTTTAGGCCACAGCTGCGGCCAGTGCACCGGTCATTGTGTAGGTGAGTAGTGCTCAAGTAGTTCTCAAGCAATCACATCTATCTGATCACCTCAATCACTGATCACTGCTTTTAATCAGAGCACAGCCATCACAACTGCAATCACCAGCCTCGACCAACCTGTGCCANATGGCTTTCGTTGTGGCCCCTGTCCTTCAGGCTACCGCGGCGACGGCGTCGACTGTCGCCCGATGGAGCTGGCCTGCGCCAGCAGCCCCTGCTACTCGGGCGTCACCTGTGAGGAGACGCCCGACGAGGTGCCCGGTTACCGCTGCGGTGCCTGTCCGCCGGGCCTCACCGGAAACGGCGTTCACTGTGAGGACGTGGACGAATGTCAGTACGCCAACCCGTGTGACCTTCGAGCGGGCTGTATCAATCGCTTCCCGGTCACTGATCGGGGCATTGGCTTCCAGTGTGGCCAGTGTCCGGAGGGGTACACCGAAGATGGTGGCGGTGGACCCCCTTACGGGACCGGCATAGAGGAGGCGAGGTCGGCGAGACGGCAAAGTTGTCGCGATGTGGATGAATGTACTGAAAGAGGTAATGGAGGTTGTGTGGAGCACTCCACCTGCATCAACACGCCCGGCTCCTTCCGCTGTGGCCCCTGTGAGGCGGGCTACGTGGGCAACCAGACCGTGGGCTGTCGGCCTGACCACCACGGACAGACGGTCTGTCCGGACGGGCGGACGCTCTGCAATGAGAACGCCTTCTGCGTGAAGCGGAAGGGCTTTGTCAACTACGTCTGCCAGTGCAATGTCGGCTGGGCGGGCGATGGGAAGATCTGCGGGCGGGACAGCGACCTGGACGGCCTCTGCGACTATGAGCTGTCCTGTGCTGACCGGCGCTGTCGAGTGGTGAGTGGTTGCTGGTAAAAACCTTGATTTTCTACTAAACCAACTTCCTCTTTTGCTTCTAGGACAACTGCCCCTACAAGCCGAACAGCGGCCAGGAGGACTCGGACAAGGACGGCATCGGAGACGCCTGCGACACTGACGCCGATAATGACGGCATTCCCAATGTTAAGGTAAGTCCTCCTTTGAGGTTCAAAGCTCTAAAACCTTAACAAACTTTTTCCTTTTAAACTTCAGGACAACTGTCCGCTGATGGTGAACGTCGACCAGGCAAACAGCGACGCCGGTGGTGGCCGAGATGGAGGCAGCGGTACCAGTGGAAACGACCGCTACGGCAACGCCTGCGACAACTGTCCGCTGGTGTACAATCCGACGCAGGCGGACGCCGACGGGGACGGCCTAGGGGACGCCTGCGACGACGACGCCGACAATGACGGCGTGCCCAATCACTTGGACAACTGTCCATTTGTGGCCAATAGCGACCAGGCGGACCGGGACGGCGACCGGGTGGGCGACAAGTGCGACAACTGCCTGGCGGTGGCCAACGCCGACCAGGCCGACCGAGACAAGGACTTTGTGGGCGACGCCTGCGACACCAACTTTGACCGCGACCAGGACGGCATTCAGGATAACATCGACAACTGCCCCAGCACGCCAAACAGCGACCAGCTCGATTCGGACGGCGACGGCCAAGGGGACGTGTGCGACTTTGACAAGGACAACGACGGCGTGCCGGACAGCCGCGACAACTGCGCCCTGGTGGCCAACCCCGACCAGCGGGACACGAACAACACCGGCGTGGGCGATGCCTGCCGAGGAGACTTTGACGGCGACGGCGTGCCGGACATCTTCGACGTCTGTCCGGACAATCGGAAGATCTACGCCACCGACTTCCGCTCCTACCAGACGGTCCGCCTCGACCCGGAGGGCGTCTCGCAGACCGACCCCGAGTGGATCATCTTCAACAAGGGCGCGGAGATTATGCAGACGATCAACAGCGACCCCGGCCTGGCGGTCGGTTTCCACGCCTTTGGGGGCGTCGACTTTGAGGGCACCTTCTACGTGGAGTCGCACATTGACGACGACTATGCGGGCT